ACCAACCACTAAAGCCAGTGATGATGAAAGTGAAAATTCTACCAACTTCTTCAGTCTGAAATTGATAAACATGCAATCAAGATGTATTGATAATTATTTGTTATTGGGTTTCAAAGATTGGAAACAAAGAGGAAGCATCAATCAGAAAATATGGCCTTGGTGATAGAAACAGCACTAGAGATCACATGGTAGAATTTTGAAAGACCAATGACTTCTTCATTATAAATACCTTTTTTAACAGCATTAAAAAAACTATACACATGGACCTTACCAGATGGAGTACAAAGAAGTCAAATTGACTCTACCTATGGAAAGAGACAGTGGAAAAGCTCCATTATCATCAGCCAAAACAAGGCCAGGGCAGACTGTGGAACAGACCATCAATTGCTTATATGCAAGTTCAGGCAATAACTGAAGAAAATTAAAACAAGTCCACAAGGTTCAAAATATTATACTGAGAATATTCCACCTGAATTTAGAGGTCATCTCAAGAACAGATTTGATGAATTAGACACTAATGACTGAAGACCAGAGGAGTTATGGGAAGACATCAAGAAAACCATACAGGAAGAAAACAAAAGTTCATTAAGAAGACAAGAAAGAAAGAAAAGACCAAAATGGATGTCAGAAGTGACTCTGAAACTTGCTTTCCAGAATAGAGATGCTAAAACAAACTGAAGAAATGAGGAGGTGAAAGAGCTGAATACAAAATTTCAAAGGGTGGCTCAAGAAGACAAAGCCAAATATTTTACTGAAATGTACAAAGACCTGATGTTATAAAAAACAAAAGGGAATAACATGCTCAGTATTTCTCAAGCTGAAAGAACTAAAGAAAAAATTCAAACCTCAGCTTGTAAATTGAAGGATTTTATGGGCGAAATATTGACTGATGCAGAAAGTATCAAAAGAAGATGGAAGAAATACACAAAGTCACTGTACCAAAAAGAAATGGTTGATGTTCAACCATTCCAAAGCATAGTATATGATCAAGAGCCACTGTTACTGAAGGAAGAAGTCCAAGGTACACTGAAGGCATTGGCAAAGAACAAGACTCTGGGAATTGATGGAATACAAATTGAAATCTTTCAACAAACTGAAGCAGCACTAGAGACACGCACTCATGTATGCCAGGAAATTTGGGGAGACAGCTATGTGGCCAACTGATTGGAAGAGACCCATATTTGTGTCTATTCCAAAGAGAAGTGATCCAAAGGAATGTGGAAATATTCAGATAATATTATTATTAGTGCATGCACGTACAATCTTGTTACAGATAATTCAATAACGGCTGCAACCATACATTGACAGGGAATTTTAACAGAGGTTCAAGCTGGATTCTGATAAGGACATGGAATGAGGGATATTATTGGATGGATCTTGGCTGAAAGCAGAGAATACCAGAAAGATGTTTACCTGTGCTTTATTGACTATGCAAAGGCTTTCGATTGTGTGTATCATGACAAACATGGACAACATTATGTAGAATGAGTATTCTGGAACACTTAATTATGCTCATGTGTACAGAGATCAAGAGGCAGTTGTCCAAACAGAACAAGGGAACACTGAATGTTAAAATTAGGAAAGGTGTGTGACAGGATTGTATTCTTTCACCATACCTATTCAGTCTGTATACTGAGCAAATAATCTGAGAAGCTGGATTATATGAAGAAGAATTTGGCATCAGGATTAGAGGAAGACTCATTAATGGCCTGTAATATGTAAATGATACAACCTTGCTTGCTGAAAGTGAAAAGGACTTAAAATACTTACTGATGGAAGATCAAAGACCTTTGGTATGGTTTCCACCTCAATGTAAAGAAACAAAAATTCTCACCACTGGACCAAAAAATAACATCCATATAAATGGGGGAAAAGTTGACGTTGTCAAAGACTTCATTTTGCTTGGATTCGCCATCTACTCTTATGAAAGCAGCAGTCAAGAAATCAATGACATAATGATTTAGGAAAGTCAGTGACAGAAGACCTATTTAAAGTGTTCAAGAGCAGAGATGTCAATTTGAGGACTAAGGTACACCTGACCTAAGCCATAGTATTCTCAATAACATCATATGCATGTGAAAGTTGGGCAGTGAATAAGGAAGACTGTAGAATTGATATATTTGAGTTATGGTATTGGAGGAGAATATTAAAAGTACCATGGACTGCCAAAAGAACAAAAAAAAAAAAAAAAATCTGTGTTTGAAGAATTACAGCCAGAATGCTCTTTAGAAGCCAGGATGGCCAGACTTAGTGTCTTAAACTTCAGACATATTATCAGGAGGGACCAGTCCCTGGAGAAGGATATCATGCTTGGTAAAACAGAGGCGGGGGGTCATCAAAAAAGAAGAAAACCCTTAACTAGATGGATTGACACAATGGCTTCAGCAATGGCCTCAAATGTAACAAGGATTGTGAGGCAGGTGCAAGGACAGGGTAGTGTTTCATTCTGTTGTGCAAAAGGTATCTATGACTCTGTACCAACTCAATGGCACCTAACAACAAGGTTATAGGGAAGAATGAAAAATGGTTAAGGGACTTCCATATGGGTTTGAAACCTGTTCTAAAATTAGATTTTGGTGGTGGCTGCATGACTGTGAATATACTAAAAAACAATGAACTGGGTGAATTGTTTATCAATACAACATGAGATGTTAAGTAAGTTTTGTGTCCACATGGATCCTTTCAGACCAGCATCATGCTTTACTAAAAAGTTTGGGGAAATTTTGGGGGAAGGAGTGGTATGGGAGAAGCTGAAAAGCTAAGAAATGACTAGAGTGGAAGTTTGGAATGATCACGTGGCTGGAAACCTGAGTTGGAACTGGGAGCTGGTTGCTGCCTATGGAGAAGCTGCTACCACCATCCAGGAGAGGGTGATGATGGCTTGAGCATGAGTGGGGCTGAGAGAAGAGGACAAATTCCAGAAATCAAGGAGGACTTGGTGACATGTCAGTTGTGGCTGGTGAGGGAGGAATCAAGGACACACCCAGGTTTCTGGCTGATACAACCAGGCCATTTACTAAGGTGGGCAATACTGTAGGGCAGAAGATTTTGTCTTTGGTGTGATCAGAAGCACCAGTGGTCATCTGGCAGAACTGACCTGTAGTACATATTGGTCTGAAGCTTAAAAGAGAGGTTTTGCTAGCAACAGGGAAGTAGACGATCAGAATTCTAAATTCATGTCTTCAGAAGTCTTGCAGATGGCTCCCAGTTACTGCAGCAGAGTTGGGGGACCATAAAGAATCTCTGGATGGGGCAGTACTCAGTGCAAGCCCATTATTGCTATATTTTTATTGTGTACCATGGAATCTATTCCAACTCATAGTGACCCAATAGGACACAGTATAACTTCCCCACAGGGTTTCCCAGGCTGAATCTTTAGGAGAGCAGATTACCAAATCTGGAAGGGCTGGATGTTCACCAGGGCCACGTAATTATCACATGGTGGGAGTGGTTTTGTACCATGGAGTCAGTTCCAACTCATAGCGACCCTGTATGGGGTTTCTGAGGCTGCAAATCTTTACGGGATCAGAAAGCCTCAACTTTCACCCACGGGACAGCTAGTAGTTTCAAACTGCTGACCTTAAAAGTTAGCAGCCAGATTCATAACCACTATGCTACCAGAACTCCTAAATGCCACGTAGCGAGATGATAATGCAGCAAGATGAAGGCTGGAATTTGGAACCAGTTTGCATGGGTTCTGGTGTGGTGCTGTAGGATAAGCACTGGATCCCAAGGTCGATTTAAACTGCAAGGTAAGCTCCTTGGAAAACCCTATACAAGTGTTGCTATGAGTAGGGACTGACTTGACTGCACTTAACAAAAACAACTGCGTGGTTTCAAATCCAGTCTCCCTCACTTAGTGAACTATATGGCAAAGAAGTGACTTTACTTCTCTGTGCTTTGGGTTTCTTATCTAGAATGAAACAGGGATGATAATAGTACCCAATATGAACTAGGAAGAAGTAACTCTTAGAGATACAGAGCACATGTCATTCTATAAAGCATTGGTTATGATTGCATGAGACTTCAGGCCCAATTGTCAGAGAACCTGGAAGTCTGTATTTATATGTGAAATTAATTCCCTGCCCTACAGTTGCTGGCACTGAATAAAATATTATTTAAATAGTCTGAGAACCAAACACAATGACCTGCAGTCTGCATATGGCCCTTGGGCTGCTAATGTGAGCCCTTGGACAGTGGTGATAAACTAAACTGGTGGGAGTAAAGATCTTGCCCAGAAAAGAGGGGGACAGGGAAGTTGATGCGCTGTTCTGACAATGTGGGATGCTCTGCAGGATCCGGGAAGGAGAGGCAGGTGTACCGGAAGGCCATGAGGAAACTACTCAGTGTGGAAGCCTTCGGGCGAAGGGACCGAATCCGCAGGGCTGGTGGGCGTGGTCTCTGGCGTGATGACCTCCTGGAGCCTGCCACAAAGCCCAACATCACCGGCAAGTTCAAGCTTCTGGAGCCGCCTGTCCTGGGCCATGACTTGAGGCTGACCCTATGCCTGGCCAACCTCACCTCCCGGGCCCAGAAGGTCCGCGTCAACCTGAGCGGTGCCACTATCCTCTACACCCGCAGACTAGTGGCAGAAATCCTGCACGAATCCCACACAGTGCAGCTAGGGCCCGAAGAAGGTAAGCACACCATCGTCTTATAAGACTTGCCTAGCCCAACCCTATTTTCCAGAAAGCTGGCTTGTGGGTTGGGGTTCCTCGGGATTCTATAGTTCCAGGAAGGGGAAGCATTCTATGCCTGACCTGGGAGTGTCTTGTCCCCATTTTCCAGATGAGAAAACTGAGGCTTGGAGGAGCTAATATTAGTAATTGTTTTAAAAAATAATCAAAACTCAAAGAAATTAAAACATAAGGCTTATTCAGAGCAGTTTTCTATGTGCATATAGGAAGAGTATTCTGAATCTTAAAAAACCAAATAACTTATTAGGCTAGTTCCAGTGAAGGTTATAAAAAGATGAGGAGGTACTTAATCAAACTCTGCCCTCCCTCCCCTTTACTGAGGCCAGTCTTTAGTCAGGTTTCCGGTTAAGAAGTGGTCACTGGCCTGGATACTCCTTTCCCCATTCATTTGCACAAATCTTTAAATGCAGTCCTGAGATTTTAAAATGATAAAAGGTACCTTATCTCTCAGGAAGCAAGAGAAACTACCTAAAGGTGCTTTTTTTGCATATTAGATCAATTCCAAGCCAGCTTATGGTTAATAAATGTCCTTGTCACAAAGGAGTTTGAAAAGGTTTGATTGCTGTGTTAAACTAGGCCTCAATTTCCTTAGTGGTGTTGTTGTTGAGTGGCTTTGAATCAATTCAGACCCAGAGAACCAGAAAACTCCATTCCTGTACAGTCCAGCCCAACTCATAGCAAGTCTCTAGGACAGAATAGAACTGCTCATAGGGCTCCCAAGGCTGTAAATCTCTATTAGCACAGAGGGCCAAGTCTTTTCTTCCGCAGAATTGCTGGTGAGTTCAAACCACTGAGCTAGCAGTTAGCAGTCGAGTGCTTTAACCACTGCACCACCAGGGCTCCTTCTAAGTCATTGTTGCTGTTAACTGCCATCAAGTCAGTTCCTACTCATAGCAACCCTGTATAGGGTTATCAGGGAGCAGCCAGTAGATTTGAACTGCCAATCTTGTGGTTAGTTGTAAGTGCTGTTGAATCAGTTCCAACTCATAGCCACCCTGTATAGATAGGGTTTCCGAGGAGCGACTGGCAAGTTTGAACTGTCAACCTTATGATTCAAATCGACCTTGCAGTCCAGGGCATTATCTTTAAGCACCATGATAGTAGTCCAGTGCTTATCCTACAGTGCCACAACAGGACCCTCTAAGGCAGAGTATAACTTCCCCATGGGGTTTCCCAGGCTATAGTTCTAGCCAGGACTAGACGGCCAGGTGTTCTCTCCATGGAGTTGTTAGTGCATTCAAACTACCAACCTTTTGGTTTGCAGCTTATACTAGGGGGGAAAAAAGACCCCAAATTCAAACATGTTCTATAAAGACCATTCTATTAAGCCTTAAACAGCACAAAGACAAGCATCCCAGATAAGGGAAGCTATCAGCATGCCCACAGTACAGAGGCCAGTAGAATCCACTGATCCATGGCCATGAGGCTAATTCTGTGTGATTTGTTGTTGTTATTAAGTGCCATTGGGTGGGTTCCGACTCATAGTGACCCTGTATAGGGTTCCTGAAGAGCAGCTGGTGGGTTTGAACTGCTGACCTTGTGGTTCAAAGTCAAGTGCTGATCTTACAGTGCCACACCAGGACACAGTTATATGTGGTAGAAAACAGGAAATAAGTACAAAACCATGATAGCTGTTCTTATTAAGTGCTGTGAAAGTCAATTCATTACTGTCAAAGAGAGGACTACAGAATTAGGGAACAGATCATGATTGGGTTAGGTACACAATTGCAGTTTAAAAAGGGTTACAGAATTGGTCCTGGGGCTTCAATCACATGGCAACCTGGTAGTGACCATGTGGCTGAGTCATAATCCCAGGACCCCAACTTTTAAATTAGATAACATGTGGCTATTCTTAAGTAAATCATTAAGGACACACCCAGCCAGGTTCCCTGCTTCTTTGTGTAAAGTTGCCTGTAGTCTACTTTGTGTAAACCTGCCTGTAATCTACTTTCAACCTCACTATTCCTGAATGCAAATTGTCCATCCTGGACTTGTGTAAGCATAGTCACACTGCTGCTCAGAAAGAACTCAGATGGCATCTGATTTTATGGTAAGACTCAGAAGGGAGTTAGGGCTCCTGCTGTAGACTGCAGCCTTCCACAAAGCAAGTGCTGTAGAATTTAAGCTACATTCCTTTCTCTGATCATGGATTTCATTTAAAATCTTTGGTCACACTTAGGTTGGTGCCCTTTCTCCTGCACAGGCTGGTTGATAGCTCCTTTTAAATGGCTGCTTGTTTAAAGACAAGTCTTTATGATCCAAACACTTTCCTTTTGGATAGCTGGGCACTAGTTCCTCCCTCATGCTTTACAATAGCACCTAGTGTTTAGTGGTCATCTTACAAGGGTAAATATGTAGCAGGGCCACATGGTAGGAACTACATGGCTGTGTTTGGTTAGGCAGCAAACCTCAAAGTGGAAACTCAAGTCCATCCATAGAATTGTTGTTGTTGTTGTTATGTGCCGTGGAGTCGGTTCCGACTCATAGCGACCCTGCACAGGGTTTCCGAGGCTGTTAATCTTTACGGGAGCAGAACGCCTCATCTTTCTCCCGCAGAACCGCTGGTAGTTTCGAACTGCTGACCTTATGGTTCGCAGCCCGATTCGTAACCACTACGCTACCAGAGCTCCTTTATCTTGTTTATATATATGGTTCCCTCCATGGGCATCATATTAGCTTTCTGAGAAATTACATCAGAAGTAACCTTCATACAGCATCTGATAATTCCAATAATAAATATCATTAATTTAGTCTGTAATATAGATTAAAATACTAATGAGAAAAATATAAAGGCAATTATTTTTGGTTCAAACAAATGAAAAGTTTTAGCTGTACAAATTAATCAAATGTAAGTGATAGAACTGAACTACTTCAAAAACAAGAGAGTTTGGCATACAGCAGTAATTTCAGGAATGTTGCTTCACTAAGGGGATGCTATTAGTCTATGGAACATAAAGGCATGTAGAACAAAAGCAATAAATAGAAAAACAGATAGCAATAGTGTCTATAGCAAATTCTTATTAGTTAAATAAACCCAAGTTGCCAACAAAAAGCAATTAAGATTTAAACCAAGTCCAACCAAGGATGAACAGTCTGATTCCATGATCCTGGGAAAGCTGTCTTCTGTCTCTGCCCACTAAGGCATTTAAGCTACAAGTTTACATTTCCAGATGCCTGGCAAGTCCAAATGAATGGTTTGGTTCCTTTAATCTGTGACAATGAATGAGGATCAGTCAAAAAGTATTGCTGCAAAATCATAGAAACCTTTATTAAACAAAAATATCAAGAAGCCAGGATGGCTAGTCTTCATCTCTCATACTTTGGACATGTTATTACGTGGGCCCTGTCCCTGTGGAAGGACACTATACTTGGTAAAATGGGGGATCAGTGAAAAAGAGCAAAACTCCCAAGGAGATGGATTAACAGGGTGGTAGCAGCAATGGGCTCAAATTAAAACCATTGTGAGGTTGGTGCAGGACCAGGCAGTGTTTCGTTCTGTTGGGCATGGGGTCACTATGAGTTTGAACCAAACTCAATGGCACCTAACAAAAACAAAAATCCTCCCCAAAAGAATCCTGCAATCTCAATTTACACTGTGTCAAAACAGTAGGTTTGGTATCCTCAAGGGACTCAAAATCATGTTCCCTTTAAATATTCTTTGAATTTAGAGAATAATTAGAATTGTGAAGGAAAGATTAGGGATGTAGGATGTAAGATTTCCCAATGAAATTCTCCTAGGTCAACCCTTGCTACCATTGAAAAATCAGCAGGTGCATTGTCATAATGGAAAAAATTCGTCAGCACAATTGTCCTGGTCTTTTTCTCACCAGTGCAGTTTTCTTCAGAAGCCCCTATGATCATCTTATGTCCTTCAAGAAAATCTATCAAGATTAGCCCTTCCAAAACCAAATCTACTGCCACTGAGTCAATCCCAACTGATAGTGACCCTATATAGCGTTTCCAAGACTATAAATCTTTATGGCAGCAGCCTCATCTTTCTCCCACAGAGTGGCTGCCAACCTTGTGGTTAGCAATCCAGTGTTTATCTTACAGAACCACCATGACTCATTCAGAATCTTAAAAACCAGTCTCCATAAGTGTCTGAGCTGAGCTGACCTCTTTGCCTTGAATTTAAGATTGAAATTAAGATCCTGTTCGATCTTAATTTTTGATTGGACCTTTTTTGGAAGGTACTCTAATGAGCCTAAGCCAAGTTTATTACTGAGAGAACCTGTCTGCAGTCATCCATTAATCACAGGAATATATTTAAATATGTTGTCTAGAATAAACCCATGTATGTAGGAACTGGAATCCCAGTAACAATACTTTTTGACTTACCCTTGTAGCTAAGATTTAACACCTTCCAGTTCAACTGCCCACCACTCGTCTGTCAATTTGTCATACTGTGGTAGCTTGTGAGTTGCTGTGATTCTGAAAGTTATGCCACCAGTATTTTAAATACTAGCAGGGTCACCCAAGGTGGGCAGGTTTCAGATGAGCTTCCAGACGAAGTTAGACTAGGAAGAAGGAGTGACGAACAACTTCCGAGTATTTAGTCACTGAAAACCTTATGAATAGCAGAGAAACACTCTTAGATATAGTGCCAGAAAATGAGCCCCTCAGGTTGGAAGGCACTCAAAATGCCTCTGGGGAAGAGCTGCCTCCTCAAAGTAGAATTGACCATGATGACATGAATAGAGTAAAGCCTGTGGGAGTAAAGTCCGTGGGACCTTCATTTGCTGATGGGGCAGAACTCAAAATGAAGAAAAACAGCTATAAACATCCATTAATACTGAGAACATGGAATATATGAAGTATGAATCTAGGAAAATTAGAAATTGTCAAAAATGAAATGGAACACGTAAACATCAATATCTTAGGCATTAGTGAGATGAAATGGACTAGTATTGGCCATTTTGAATCTGACAACTACATGGTTT